GTCACAGAGAGAGAGGAGAGAACATGAGGAACGGAGCAGTTGCAGTTACAGTTACAAACCAGAGACATTAAAGTATTTTGTTAAGAACAGAAGCAGCTGCAGTGAATCCAAGGTAACAGGAAGCTCTACTTCTCCGTGAGTGACAGCTGCAGTATCCTCTCCAGCTCCTCCTCTTCCTCCCGCCTCTTCCTGTCCTGCTCTTCCTGCTCCAGGCAAGACAGCTCCATGGCAATGCGAAGCTGCTCGTCAAAGCTGGTTGCCACGGCGAAGGCCCCAGGCATTCTCTGGGCGTAGTTGGGGTCATCCAGTGAGCTGTAGGAGGGTGGCGAACGGACTTGAGAGGGGGAAAGGGAGAGAATTGGGGGAGGAGTCAGATGTATTGACTCCTCCTCTTCCACCTGCGACTCCTTTCCTGTCACTGTTGAGGTCTGCATGCAGGTCCCACTCTCTCCACCCTGACCTCCAGCCAAAGAGAGGGAGAGAGACTCCTGTATAGCCCTGAAACAGAGAGAGAGGGGTTAATACAGTCCAGACACACCGACTGGACACTCCAGTACATTAACACTGCACTGAGAGAGAGGGGTTAACACAGTCCAGACACACTGACTGGACACTACAGTACATTAACACTGCACTGAGAGAGAGGGGTTAACACAGTCCAGACACACTGACTGGACACTACAGTACATTAATAGTACTGTGACTGCACTGGGACTGGTCTGAGACTGTCCTGTCCATCTGTGACAATGGTGCTTCTGATTCTGATCCCTGTTACACTGAGATTGGACACTGAGCCACTATGCTGTCGGCTTCTGGTTTGCTGGTTCTGGAAGCCCTGGGACAGTGAGTCGACAGAACAGGACCAGGATAGCGAGGCAGGCCCACGGGCCATCAGCCAGCACTGTCTGAACACGTAAGACTTGTCTTGCCAGTGAAGCGTTTGAGCCTCAACAGGAGAAGGAGATAAAACGCGACTAAACATTCAAATCGGAGTTTAAACAGAGTCGTATTTCCATAAAGATGTAAATGCCTGCTTGATAAAGGGCTGGAAGAAGAGCTCTGTGTGAGAGGGCCTCACCTCTCCAGCTGGGTGTCCTCTTCGTACAGGGGAGTGTGGGACACAGGGCGACTGTTCGTCAGGGCTTCCCATATAGTCACCTGGGGAGAGAGAAAGAGTCTCATTGCTGGGATCAGTACCTTTTCCCTGGATGTGCATGTGAAACTGGGAACCTGAGGCCCTTCTTTGCACAGAGGGTGGTGGGAGTGTGAACAAGCTGCCCAGACATGTTGTTGAAGCTGATACCCCGACTAAATCCAAGACGCAGTCAGAGGGGATCCTCTAGTCAGGATAGGAGACACTTCTTTACACAGAGGGTGGTGGGAGTGTGGAACATGCTGCCCAGACATGTTGTTGAAACTGATACTTTGGCCTCTCTCAAGACACAGCTGGATGAGATCCTGGAAACCATACTTATGACCAAACAGGCCCACCTCCTTCATTTCATTTGTGACCTGCACTGTTGATCAACACTGACAGTGGTGTGTGCTCCCATTAACAGAGAGAGGCTCAGACCTGGAGCCTGTACCGGAAGGGTAGGGCACAAGGCAGGGCTACTCCCTGGACTGGGCTTCTGTCCACCACAGCTCACACACACATACCGGGACCACTGAAGGAAACCAATTTACCCAGACAGTAGTCCTTGGATGGGACATCCCAGATGGGAGAAAACCAGAGCCCTGGAAAAAATTCATATGCGAACTCCACTCAGAGGGCACCCTGGTCTGGACTGGATACTGGAAATTCTTGTGTCTGCGTTTTGTGCCCAGTTGGTCATTCCCAGTTCAGGGCTGAATCAATACACGGATATCTGTAAAAGTGGAAGTGGAAGTATTACCAGTGTCTAACTGCTGCCCTCACCTGGTCACTTTCCGTTCCAGCATCCAACAGGCTCTGCTG